TCTTGTTATCCGCCTCGTGATCTTTTTTTCCAGGAGAAGATGCGGCGGTTGATAGATTAGTGTAAGACCAGAAGCCTAAGTTGGTATGGAAACGTGATGGACGATAGGAATTATGAGAAGACAACAAGCGACTCATTGTAAAACCGCTTACCGCTTTCCCTGCTTATGTACTCTTTCGCGTAGGCATCTCTGTCCTACCTATTACCACATAAAGACCCAAAGAATTCTCGCGGAAACGAAGCGAGGCGCGGCGAGGCGAGGCGAAGCTAAGCGAGGCGTCATCAGTTGTTTGAGCTAACAAATTTAATGCGCGTGCATAACGACACCAATTTAAATGATAACGCGCGATGTGTGTGCTTTCAAGATTAACTCGTAATAGGCCGGAATAAATGTCGGCGGACCTGTTAGAGGTGTATCTAGTCGCCCGTTACACGGAAACAGTGGGTGCTAACTACTCCTGTAGACAAGCTTGTTTATATTGGTGCGCGTTGCGCGGCACGAAAACTGTGCGTAAATCCTCACGCACGCATCTGGCGGTAGTGCCAAGAAAATTGGGTCGTCGCGGATCACGTCTGCTAGATCTCTCTCAACGTCGTTATTAACGCGACCGCGGTGAGTTATCGTCGGGCGAGCATCGCGCTAGCGTCCGTGGAACCCCGTAATTATCCGACCGGTTATTAAATTTAGCTGCTAATATTTAATTATCGTCCGACGAAGTCGCGCGTTGCCGCGCGTACTAAGCGCTGTGCCATAATTTACTCGATTACGTGTAGAATGTTCGATAGCCAATAATCATATTCAGCGCTACAAGAGGTACGCGCTACCCATCTTCTTGTGAACGGCACTTGAGCCATTTTCCGTGTTATACACGCGAACGCGTATTACACGTGATGGGGGAAAAATTTACAGGGGGGGGGGAGCAATATCTCGCACATTTATCCGTTCATTCATCAATAAATCCCGATGGTAATGAGTGATCTTATCTCGAAAGACCGCTTATCAACTGATCACGTTCCTGCCCGATAGATTTGCCTAATTAAAGAAACAAGATGTAAACGATTTTATTTCCATTACAATTCGCGCTATCTGCGTATCTGTCGACCACTTGGAACAAATAAATGACTTTCTCCGTATCTACATTCTTTCTCTCTTTCCCTCTTCTCAGAAACCGAGCAACACACACTTAAACCATCACGAACCAGGTGCACCTGTCAAGTGCTCTATGCTGTTAGTTTGATTAATGATAGAAATATTTCTTGAATAAACAACGGGGCGAGTCTTAAGCTTGGTGAACAGATTGACATTTAGATATACTTAGAAGCGGCAACAATTTAGATTTAAAAGATAACCAATGACTATAAAGAATCGCACGGTAAAAAGATAGTCTCGAGTTAACCTTCGTTGATCTTATGTTAACTTCGTTGATTTTATGTTAACATTTCGAATCTGAACTACTACGAGGAGAAACTTTTATTCTCATGCATTATAAATATATAAAAACGATCTTCTATTCATCTAAATTTTTTAGATGGAACATTACATTAATGTTACAACGAAATACGTTATATTCTATCTAAAATTTAAAAATCTAACTTAAATGTTATATCAACGTTTAAATTAGAAAATCTTACTTTATTTTTAAACGGTTAAATTTGAAAACAAAAATTAGAAGTATTAAAGTTAATTAGAGGGAATAATCAACCTCGATCAAGAGTCGATGGTCTTCCGAAGTAAGCTGCACGAAGCACGAAGTAAGTTTGCCCGAGGAGGTGTCTTGTCGAGATTGTCGCGGGTAGAATCATGTGCAAGCTGTGCCCTCGCTTCCTCACCTTGCCTCGCCTCGCCACACCGTTGAACCTCTTTGCATATACATTCTGTAAGATTACTTTGTGCGGTTTACACCCAACCTCTTCCCCTCCCCTCCCCACCTCCCCCCCCCCCTCCAAGCGTGTTCCCTCGGTCGTCCCTCAGCAGCACGCTGCGCTTCACTTCAACCCTCGCCTGCTTTCGTTGCCGAGAGGCAAACTACCCTCCAAGTTTCACCCAAGGTCCCTAATGTATGCGGAACTATACGGCAGAAATTCCAAGTTCGGCATGGCCGTGTTAGGCGCCTTTACGATGAGTTTCCGCCCCCCGTCGTTCTCTCTTTGCCGCGCTCGCGCGAGGAAAGGGACGAGGCTCGCCCGACAAGACTCGCCCTCCGCATAAGAGGGCGAACACGCGTGATCCTAATTAGAAACGCGTCCTCGAGGTGCCGAAGTAAAAGCGAGCTTCTTGTTGGGCTTTCCAACGACGGCGCCGACGACACTCGCGCGCGCATATACGCGATCGTACAAGCGACGTGCACTCCCGAGGTAAGAGGATACCTCCGCTCCTTCTCACTTCGCGAACATTTCGAAACGAGCATTGCTAAAATCTTCATTTTGCGCAACAATCGAAACGGTAATTCGGTGAAATCGTTTGACGTGAGAACTGAACTGATGAAACGAGGCGTCGCTGAAAAGATAACGGATTCGAAACTTTACGCACAGGGAGGTATAACAACTCGTTATTATTCTCGGGTCATAGAGAAGCGTTTCACACAAAGTAAAAAGCTGAAGTAGCCGCGAGAATTCTCACAGGAGGGTATGACAGGTAAAGTATCTCGCCACCCGCGCTCGTATTTACATAAAAAAGAAGCTCCGCTGTTGGAAAAGCATAATGCTTACAAATGGCCGCATTAGTCGCGTATTACATTAATGTAATACATTGTGTTTCGATGATTAAACGTGTCTAAGAAAGTTTTTATTTAATACTAGAGATCAAATAAAGCATCTTATTATACGAACAAATATTTAATTAAAATAAAAAATGCATTTGCAAATAATTAAAAAATCCTAAACATGTAAATGACTCAAATACGAATAAATAAGAATAAAAAACCAATATAACAAACATAAAAATGTCAATTATCAAGATATATATATATATATATATATATATATATATATATATTATATATATATACATTTATTTATTTATTTAATGTACTTTATTAATATATTTTGGTAACATTTGATTATTGTTCGTTATATTGGCTTCTTTTACCCTTATTTATTTATAAAAAATTCTTATCAATTAAAACATTATTACATTAACACCGTTTCGAAATTCTCTTGCAAACATTTTCGCAGTTAATTTCCTACGTTTATTTGTCATGAGCTTTCATCGTGACGAACCTGTCGCGCGTTCAGTGACTCGTAATCAGCCGTTCGAAGAAAATAGATTTGATAGAAAACTATGCGAAATGTCATTGACGCGACAATTGGCCGGCGAACAGGCGCGGCACGCGACACCACGCTAGACGAAACAGTCATTAGGGATGCAAAGGGCGGAATCGCGCGGCTACGTTGCATGATAATTACCGTAAAGAAAGGCCGACGAGCTCTATCCACGGGCTTCCCAGGAGATTACAGGATGTCCGGAGGCGAGAGGATTCTCCCCGCATGACCCGAAAACCCTTTCCGCGCTTACAAGCAATAAAAATTAACGGCCGGCTCAGTCAAATCGTATATGAAAGGCGGCCCGCCAGGGCCGGATTGTGGCATCTAAGTAATACATAATTATCACGGACCATTCAACTTATACACGCGGCAATAAACAGTTCCCTTTGTAACGAAACCGTCATATAGGGAAGAATGTGTCAAAATCTTTCAGCAGCTGTTAACATTTTATCCAAATTTCCGAAAAGAAAATCTAGCTTGACTAAAATCCAACGATTACAGATAATTTAATTAATTTCTAATAAAATAATAAGAAAGAGTTTTAAAGAGTTGTAAGTCCAAAATCATAATTGACAAACGATGAGATCATAGCGGATAATTAATTATTATTTTAAGCTTCTTTTTATAAATCGATGGAATGAGTATGAGATTTTTCAGTTCTTTTCTAAAAAGGCCAAACAAATTACGCCACGCGCGAGGGGCGAGCCAAGAGCACGATCCGGTCATAATCGGTCGAAGGAAGCGTGAAACGACCGCTTCCTTCCTCCTTTGCGGAGCATTTTAACCGGTCGGCGCCTTTAATCGTGAGATCCGATAAGTATATTAAAATTATGATGGAAGATCGGCCGCATACAAGCAATACATCCTGCGATGCTTCGTCTAACTTTGTTGGTCGCGACAGAAAGGAGCTTACCCCCTGCTCTCCTCCCGCTACCTCGAGACTCCGTCTCCTCCACTTTTAATTTTCAGACGCAGCTAATTATGATTTACGGCAACATCGGCGCAACATCCTGATCGCTACGCGAGATACTGCCCGCAGGATATTCAAATGCAATGAATATCGTTCGTCGCGATAAACGCGGCGCACGAACGATGAGATAAACGAAGAGAAGTCGCGAGAAAGAGAAGGAGAAAATGCAAGAAGGGGAGAACCGTCGCACGAACGCGTGTAAAGGATACGGAGAAAGGATTCCTAGTAGCCTACTCGGTATGCAAGATGAGCAGTCAGCCTTGTACACACCGCATCCTTCCTCTCGCCCTTTAAAGGATGTATAAATATTCGCGCGCGTGGATTGTTCCATACCGAATCGCATTCGCCCGTAATATTTAAAGCCGCGCCAAGATAATTCAATATAAGCTCTGAACATTTTGTGTCCTCGCCATACGTTCAAGGAAAGATAAGCTGCCCGATGATGTCACAACAAAGTGAACGTCGTGATTTAACTCTTATTAAAAAGTGTCGAGATGTGACAAATGCCTTTACCCAAGAGATAGCATATGATAGACTTCAAAAATAACCACTCAAGTACAATAAGTTCTGATCTTTTTCATAAGAGATTTTTGCATTCTTTTCTCATAACACTTTATATTATTATTACAAATTATAGTTATTCATATCAAGAAATTTTCAAAATGTTTTTTACTTTTCTCCAAAATTTACTCTGTTTGCAACTTTTTTGACATTTACAGCATTCTTCAATTGTAAAATTTAAAAATATCCTAAAGTATACAACTCACTTTGTCTGTCCGTTTTCTAGCAGGTACAGTTGTATCGTTAGGTCGTGCATGAAGATCGGTTTCACTAGCCATCCGATTGAAACGTTGCATTCGTTCGCGAAAGCTGAGTTGCTCCGCCGAAGAAGGATTTGTAGTCGTTGGTCCTTCATCTTCCTGTAATCGAACAATTTCGATTTCCGAATTTAACATAGTACAAGTGCGATCAATGACAGATGACGAATCAATCAAGTCCGAAATAACAAATTAAAATCAAAGCTTTTAAGAGATATAAATGAACGATAAACAGAATGATTGTGACATTGTTATAATCTTGATAATCTTGATAATTATAACATCTGTAGATATACTAATAATAAAGTACAAGAAGCCATCTGTAAAATCTTAAAAAATATATACGACGTAATAATTAATATGGATAATTATACATATATTATGCAAAGAGAAGAGAAAGTTTTTCTTTATTTAAAATCTAATAGTTTATCAATTACAAATAATTATTGTATAAAAATCATGATTTTTATAATATTCAATTATTCACATATTTCATTAAAAGATTATCACAATGATACGATATCATATACGATTTCACAGAAAAAATAATCATGCCTCATCCCACATGATACGTGGGATCACTTCCGAGTTGCGCGATAAGTCGCGCATGACGACATCGCGATAACAGCACAGGCACACTTTCAAGAGAATATAAGATGCGTATACATAAGACAAGGAAGAACCTACCTTTATGACGGCTTCTGAGGAGCTGTTCCTGTTTCTGTCGACGTTTTCCTTGTTCTCCACTTTGAGCTTGTCCTGACTTTTGCGACGCGGTGGAACAGGCGGTGACGACACCGACGCGATCGATTCCGGATCGTCATTTTTTTCACGCACGGAGATTGACGTCGCACCATCTTCGAGACTCGCATGAAAATTACTTGAAGATGGACTGAGGGGTGCAGGAGGAGGTGGCCGATAAGGCGGAGGTTCTCGCAGAGGAGAAACTGGAGTAGCTAAATCGGGAGTGGCGAGAGGAGATGCCACTTGCTTAGGAGACGAAAGGTCTAAGAAGGGTTGCCGGTATTTCTTCTTGAGTACCAAGTACTTTTCACCCTGTTAAGGAACGTTCACTTTAAGAGTATTCCGCATGGGTGATTCGACAAGAGTGACACACTTTCACTCGTGTATTATTAACTTCATTTCGTAATTAATTCTCAAAAAAAATGATTATGATATTCAAATTTCCAAAAATAAATAAATATTTTCCAATTTTTATTACACATTTCCTTATATTTTTCTCACGGAAAAAGCAAGTAAAAATTGTTTTCAATAATATCTCGAAAAATATCTTGAAAAATAACAGCTTATCTCTTTTGTTAATTAAATTCTGTCAATACATTTCAATTCGATTCTAAATAAATCTACTTTAAATATACAAAATTTAATTTAAATTTAATCGTTTCTTCGATTCATGAGCGAAATTGAGTCTGTCCTTTTACTATTTTTCTTTCCTCATTACTCTAAATAATCAATTTTTATTTCGAAAATCTAAACTACAGTAGCACATATTTTCGTACGCTCTGTACGCTCTACAACATTAATACTCCATTCGAAAATGCGATCGAGAAAAAAAAACATCTTTTAAAGGACACGATGCCCGGCATAGAATTTTTCAGCTGATCGAGTGCCTTCAGCTGATCGCTGGGGCACCGGCAACGTCGCGTCAGGCGCGCAACAAGTCGTTCCTGTCAGAGAGGGAAGGGAATCGCGGAAGAGAGAAAGAGAGAGAGAGAGAAAGACAGACAGAGAGGATCCGTATTAACCTACCTCCTCGTTCTTTATGGTAGCCAGAGTATTGACGTACTCCTTGAAACGGTTCCTCGCTTCGACTATAACACAAAAAAATCGCACGTTGCATCACGCTGAGCTCCGATAGCGACTCCGATCGTTCGCTATCTACATGTTTACATCGCGTACGCGAACGCGAGGTCACGCCTCACGAGGAGACAGCCGCGAACGCGGCCACGGCGACGCGGATGCAACCCACCTCGCGTCTCCGGGTCCGTCAGGAACCGCTTGAAATGCTTCACCAGGTCGTGATTGCGCGCCGTGCCCCCGTTTTCCAGCAGGTAGTTGCGAATCTCTTCGAGGGACAGCTCACTGGGGGTCGCCATCTTGGACGAACTGACATCGCAGCTGCGAACGGCCGTCCACGACGCGAACTCGCTCTGTTGATAACAATGGTCGCGGCAGTTATCACCGAGGAACAGACGCGCGAGCGGACTTCGATTATCTGAATCTTTTTATCTCGATTCTCTTTTTATAGAAGCGTGTGAATATATAACGATGTTGTGAAACAACCTCCAAGTAGTTATAATTACAATTAAGTAATGAATTATAAATATAAATGCATCTCCAATGAATTTAGATTTTATGTATATATTTGTTTATACATATATAACTTCTATTTTAATTTTAAAATACTCTGCATTCGATAAACGACGGTTCAGCTGATCTAAAAATTTGATCAAATGTATATCGATCTGAAAATAATTTTGTTGGATCATTAAAATAAGTATAAGACGTTGAAGCACGATAATAATGCTAAAACAACTTTTGATATTACGGCAGCCGATTTAAATATGTAACATAATTATTTTAATGATCCAATAAAATTTTTAGATCTGTATTTAACCAAATTTTTAGATACTTCAGTAAAACTGTTCTTTTCATATATTCTCTAAAATTCGCTAAATATACAGAACGTTATATAAATTTAATAGCCGCGAAAGTATCTATCCGTGTTAACGCATTCGTTCGCGATATATTATTCACCTACGTCCAAATAGACGATTCTCAAAAGCCTTTTAGTGGAACGTTATTTCGCGGAATTCGAACGGCGATCCTCCACCCTCCCACCGGCCCTGTCGACCGGATTAAATACCGTATTTTAAACGCTCCGGCACATATTAATGGAGGCGGTGCATTCGTCAGAGTGCATTTAACGTTTTCCCGCTATAAGCTCTTTACGATCGGATAGAATCAAAACGCGCGACACGCGCGCCTCATGCGAAATCTTTTTTTACGCAGACGTTCAGGCGAAATCGTAATCTGTCCCTGCCAACGTTGGCGCGGGGCACCGTCCGGAACACGCGCCTCTATATTTATTCAACGACCAATTAGTAACCGACGCGATAAATTCTACCTTAATTTATGATCGACCATAATTTTCCATGTACTTTTAAAACTGCCCCATAAGAGAGGAAATAAGAGACCCGCCGTATCTCTCGTGACAGAAACGTTCGCTTCCCTCAAGGTTCTCGTTTGAGCGCATACTTGATCGCTCGTCGTTGAATACTGAATAAAAGAATGAAGTGAGGAACGCGAGCATGTGAAATATTTAATCTTCATTTGTATATCGCAACTTTTTCTCTTTTCGTGAAATTTTAATATATGCTTTACGTTACGCAAACACATTGTTATGTGCCGTTATTGTATTATGCGCATATATTACGCGCGCGATGTATATGGATGGTATAAAATTAAGGAATATGTATTCACTTCCTGTTCCCCCATCTCTCTCACTCTCTCCCCCTCCCTCTCTCTCTCTCTCTCTCTACGTAAAAGGGTTAAAACTACGTACGGCGCATCGTGTGTACACCG